GAAAGAAAGAAAGAAAGAAAGAAAGAAAGAAAGAAAGAAAGAAAGAAAGAAAGAAAGAAAGAAAGAAAGAAAGAAAGAAAGAAAGAAAGAAAGAACCAGAAATTACACAACTAGGCATTTAGATTTTGTTTAAGCAAAAGGAAAAAAAAAAGTGCTGTCAGTTTTCACATAGAAGTGCCTCAGCATGTAAATTTTGATGGAAAGAAAGAAAATACAGCAAGGATTGTTTTGTTGTTTTCAAATGGCATGCTAATTTTCTTTCTGTTTATTCATTCAGGGGAAACAAACATTTTTCTTTAACGATAAAAACAGCAGCTTTTGGGACTGTAGAATGACATAGTGGACTTAATTAGGAATGTTTCTACGATGCTGTGATAAACGAGATAAACGATAATAGGCTTGAGCTGAGATCAAATCAATGGATTTGGGGCCTCATCCTCAGTAATGAGGGCATTCAGGTGGTCGTAGTGAGGAAACCATTGAGTTGAATGAAAAAAGCTTTCAAGTTACTGATGTATGTTTCATCCCTCACCTTCTGTGAATAGCTATGTTTACATGGACAAAAGTAATCAGAATAAAAGTCCAATCAGAGTAAAAATGTGTCATGTAAATACACCAATCAGAATATTCTGATCTGATTCAGCTCGAATGGAAGGAATTTGTAAACCGAATAAGAGGGCTGGTTTATGTYGATTGATAATYTGAACGGCGTGCATKTAAACAMTGATCATGTTATTCTGGTTGTGGAAGACTGACCTGACAGCTCATGTGCACCCTATGTCAGCCTGACGTRTTTCCACCTGGCTAGATGCTAATATGTTGGRGAAGCAGAACTGGTCRGTTAGTGAGACAACATTTCTATTAGAAACTTTGAAAGAGCTCAGAATTATCAAACRCCTTGATGGTTGAAAGTGTAGGAACAYGGAGCGCAGTAACTTCTCCWCTGWTATTAAGACCTGGTGCGGGTCCATTCTGGGAGCTAAGAAGACACAAGTATTGTTTACGTTCATCACGGRAGTAGAAATTCTTTTTCTGTGTGTTTTTAAGGAAAGTTTGTWACTCTGCGCATGTCAGCACTTCTACTCTGAATAAAAGCYTGGTGCATGTAAAATTTYGTGGCCATATAAGGAGTACATTTGGATTATTCAATCCAAATCCATTTCAATTCGATCGAATGATTTTGCGCATGTAAACAYGGCTATGAGGTATGAATCATGACTGAAGGAAYAAGATCCTGGCAACAAGTGGCTGAAATGAGCTTCCTATGGTGGCCAGGCTCAGCTTTAGCGATACGGGGAGGACATATTCTGARGGAGCTCAGCTCATATTAGAGCTGCTGCTGCTCTGTATCGAAAGGACTCATTTTAGGCATCTGATTAGGATGCCTCCTGAAYGCCTCCCTTCTGAGGTTTTCTGGGCAMATCTCACAGACCTCGGGGCAGACCCAGAGCTCGCTGGAAGGATTAAATATCCTCTCTGGCCTGGGAATACCTTTGGATCCTCCAGRAGGAGCTGGAGAGTGATGCTGTGGTGAAGTATATCTAGGTTTCTCTCCTGACCCAATGATGGATAAGAGGTAGAGGATGGATAGATGAATGTTTTATTACCAAGTGACACTAAATGATAATTGTAAAATGCTTTGTTGCGTACCAAAATGCACTCTGTTAGTACGCTACTGTTTTATTTTCTTTTTTTATGATGAAATTATTTTTAATTAAATACATAGATCAGTTACAGGCCAGCTAAAAACAAGAGTTGATGACAGCAGTGCCTTAGCACAATSATTCTTGAATTAAAGGCAGAGAACAGTTACTGTGGTTCTGTCAGATTTGATGAAAATGTAATAATAATAATGTTTGAATTGGCTGAACAAGATTAAAATAACGCGATAACTCTCAAAAATCACCACAATGCTACAAATAAATCTGAAATACCAATTACCAAGCAATTTAGTTTATTTTGTGTAGGAAAAACTTGAAAAACTGACAAACCTGATCTGATTTCCAAGAACATTTTAGAAACAACATGCCTCTGATGCTGTGAAAAATCTTCTCAAAGAGTTCAAGAGAGTTTCACATCAGTTTCAGCTCGTATTCACACTAAAAACAACATTTTCTCCCTTTTTTATTAATCTTTCTCTATTTAGCAAGCGAGTGTTGATTATGTAGTAATTTTAGGCCCTGCAGGCTGCGACACAAACAGAGCGATAAACAGAAACAACCCCAAGAACGAGCCTCTCCATGTAAACAGTCGTCTAAACATCTGTGGGGCAACAACAAGCTGAATCAAAGCGACGTTGGGCTTTTATCTTGGCACGCCAGATCCTAATAAACAGCTGTTTCCTCTGGCCACGTCACACTGCGGGACGTGTTACTATCACCGCTGCCTCAATAATCAGACAGCCGGCAGACGAAAGGACACCTGGGGCAAGTTTGGAYTCTAACTCACAGCCAGTTGGACTCTTGAATGTGTCTGCATGGTTTGAATTTTGCCTATAATTTTTGCTTTATTCCCCCCATTTATTCTTTTCCTTTTTTTTTTTCCTCCCTCCTGTCTGTGCACTTCATACACACCACACCAACACACTGACGGATTAAGACAGCACGAGGATATTCAAGCCTGGGAGATTATTTGCCAACCTTTCACCCCTCCGCACCCAATCTGCCACAAAGTGTCAGGCAGAGCTTAAAGACCTCATTTCTCCTTGGCAGCAGGCTGAGCCTCAGCTTGACCTTGGCCAGAGGGCAGCTTGAGTCATTAGCATGGAAAATGTTGTGCCTCGCAGTCTCACCGGTCATTGTAAACATTACACAAACTGGCACGGCTTCTAAGCTCCCCCTGCAGATGCTTGCATCACCGCTGGGATGAAGCCAAATCTATTCACAAGCTTACAGATGCTTTTTTTTTTTCCTTTTTCTTTTTTTAAAGGGATTTATTCTCTAATAGAAAAGAAAGGGCTTCAAGTATATCCATAAAGCTGAAAAATAGAACTAAAAATAAACCCAGATACAGTTTAGGTGTGAAATATCAACTGCAAGTTATCTCCATAAAGGTTGGTGAAGATATAATTCCAAAACCACAAGGAYTATTCAGCTGTTTTTACTGCCTACACTCTTCTGCTTTCAGACTTTTCACCAGAGTTTGGCACCTCGATTCGCACCAGCACCCTGTCCCTGCCTCCATCTCTATCTCTATGAGCCTGCTGCTCCCCATCTTCATCTTGCTCTGTTATTATAATCATGCTCTGCTGGAGCAGAGTGTACAACCAGCGCCACAGATAGAAATTCATTAGCTGAATGCTAACACCAGCCGTGATCCCGGTTTATACAGTGAGGAGCACAGGTGAACTTTGATTGGCAGCGTTGATGCTTGGAGAGACTTGTGACATCTGCATCACAT